TTCGATCATTCCTGCTGCTTGTCCAGGTCTTCTTGAAGCCTCAAGCTGTCCTCCTCTGTCTTAATCCTTCTCATAATTTTGGCGTCGAAGCAAACATTGAGAGGAATGAGTCTATACCCTCTGGGAGATCATTTACGTATATCAAAAACAGGATAGGTCCGAGTATAGAGCCCTGTGGGACTCCACTGATGACTTCACGCCAATCTGAGGACTCACCCCTCACTGTAACTCTCTGCTTCCTATTGCTTAGGTACTCCCGTATCCACGGGAGCGCCCTACCATTTACTCCTGCCTGTCTCTCCAGCTTATGTACCAGCCTCTTATGCGGTACCGTGTCAAAGGATTTTTTACGAGCCCTGCGTGTGTGTGTGTGTGGTGTGTGTGTGTGTGTGGTGGTGGTGTGTGTGGTGTGTGTGTGGTGTGTGTGGTGTGTGTGTGTGGTGGTGGTGTGTGTGGTGGTGTGTGTGGTGTGGTGGTGTGTGGTGTGGTGTGTGGTGTGTGTGTGTGTGTGGTGTGTGTGTGTGGTGTGTGTGGTGTGGTGGTGGGTGTGTGTGTGGTGGTGTGTGTGTGGTGGTGGTGTGTGGTGGTGGTGGTGGTGTGGTGGTGGTGTGTGTGTGTGTGGTGGTGGTGTGGTGTGGTGTGTGTGGTGGTGGTGTGTGGTGGTGTGGTGTGTGTGGTGGTGTGGTGTGTGGTGGTGGTGTGGTGGTGTGTGTGTGTGTGGTGGTGGTGTGGGTGGTGGTGTGTGGTGGTGGTGTGGTGTGTGTGGTGTGGGTGGTGGTGTGTGGTGGTGGTGTGTGGTGTGTGTGGTGGTGGTGGTGTGTGGTGTGTGGTGTGTGTGTGTGTGTGGTGTGTGGGGGTGGTGTGGTGGGTGTGGTGGTGTGGTGGTGGTGTGGTGGTGGTGGTGGTGTGTGTGGTGGTGGTGTGGTGTGTGTGGTGGTGTGGTGGTGGTGGTGTGTGTGGTGTGTGTGGTGGTGGTGGTGGTGGTGGTGGTGTGTGTGTGGTGTGTGGTGGTGGTGTGTGGTGTGTGTGTGGTGGTGTGGTGGTGGTGTGTGGTGGTGGTGTGTGTGTGTGTGTGTGGTGGTGGTGTGTGGTGGTGGTGTGTGGTGGTGGTGGTGTGTGTGGTGGTGGTGGTGTGTGTGGTGGTGGTGGTGTGTGGTGGTGGTGGTGGTGATGTGTGGTGGTGGTGTGTGGTGAGTGGTGGTGGTGGTGTGTGGTGTGTGGTGGTGGTGTGTGGTGGTGGTGGTGGTGGTGTGTGGTGGTGGTGGTGGTGGTGGTGGTGGTGGTGGTGGTGGTGGTGGTGGTGGTGGTGGTGGTGGTGGTGTGTGGTGGTGGTGGTGGGTGGTGGTGGTGGTGGTGGTGGTGGTGTGGTGGTGGTGGTGTGTGGTGGTGGTGGTGTGTGGTGTGGTGGTGGTGGTGGTGGTGGTGTGGTGTGTGGTGGTGGTGGTGGTGTGTGGTGGTGTGTGGTGTGGTGTGTGTGTGTGGTGGTGGGTGGTGTGTGGTGGTGGTGGTGGTGTGTGGTGTGTGGTGTGGTGGTGGTGGTGTGTGGTGGTGGGTGGTGTGGTGTGTGTGTGGTGGGGTGTGTGGTGGGTGGTGGTGGTGGTGTGGTGTGGTGGTGGTGGTGGTGGTGTGTGGTGGTGGTGGTGGTGGTGTGTGTGGTGTGTGGTGGTGTGTGGTGTGGTGGTGTGTGGTGGTGGTGGTGGTGTGTGTGGTGGTGGTGGTGTGTGTGTGGTGGTGTGGTGGTGGTGGTGGTGTGGTGGTGGTGGTGTGGTGGTGTGTGGTGGTGGTGTGTGGTGTGTGTGTGTGGTGGTGGTGGTGGTGGTGTGGTGGTGTGTGTGTGGTGGTGGTGGTGGTGTGTGGTGTGTGTGGTGGTGGTGTGTGTGGTGTGTGTGGTGGTGGTGGTGTGGTGGTGGTGGTGGTGTGGTGGTGGTGGTGTGGTGGTGGTGTGTGGTGGTGGTGGTGGTGGTGGTGGTGTGGTGGTGGTGGTGGTGGTGTGTGGTGGTGTGTGGTGGTGTGGTGGTGTGTGGTGGTGGTGGTGGTGGTGGTGTGGTGGTGGTGGTGGTGGTGGTGTGTGTGTGGTGGTGGTGTGTGTGGTGGTGTGTGGTGTGGTGGGTGTGTGTGTGGTGGTGGTGTGGTGGTGGTGGTGGTGTGTGTGGTGGTGGTGGTGGTGGTGTGTGGGTGGTGGTGGTGGTGGTGGTGTGTGTGTGTGGTGGTGGTGGTGTGTGGTGGTGGTGGTGTGGTGTGTGGTGTGGTGGTGGTGGTGGTGTGGTGGTGGTGTGTGTGTGTGGTGGGGTGGTGTGTGTGGTGGTGGTGGTGGTGTGGTGTGGTGGTGGTGGTGTGGTGTGTGTGGGTGGTGGTGGTGTGGGGTGGTGGTGGTGGTGTGGTGTGTGTGGTGGTGGTGGTGTGGTGTGGTGGTGGTGGTGTGGTGTGGTGTGTGGTGGTGGTGTGTGGTGGTGGTGGTGTGTGTGGTGGTGGTGGTGTGTGGTGGTGGTGGTGTGTGTGGTGGTGGTGGTGTGTGGTGGTGGTGGTGTGTGTGTGGTGGTGGTGTGGTGTGGTGGTGGTGTGTGTGGTGGTGGTGTGTGGTGTGTGGTGGGTGGTGGTGGTGTGGTGGTGGTGTGGTGGTGTGTGGGTGGTGGTGTGGTGTGTGTGGTGGTGTTGATGTGTGTGGTGGTGTTGATGTGTGTGGTGGTGTTGGTGTGTGTGGTGGTATTGGTGTGTGTGGTGGTGTTGGTGTGTGTGGTGGTGTTGGTGTGTGTGTGTCTACAACTATAGTTTAACTTGAAGGATAAAACATTTGCTGTTGGGCCCCGCCTCTCCCGCCGCCGGTTGTCCAATATAATAGTTCCTGGACCTATTTATCTGTTGTATCTTCTGTTTGGAATTATACATAAAGTTCGCGCCTACAACCTCCTCGTTTAGTTCATCCCATCTCCTACATCTCTTACGTTAGCGAAGATATTTCCAAACATGTGTGTGTGGCTCATGTGTTCCTCCAGCACCAAGTGCCTTCTTGTTCTATTGGTATTCATGGTAAACAATTCCTTTCTTTTCACCGCTTCATTGCCCCAAGCTATTTTGTATTTGTCGCTCATCTGTTGCCTATCGACGTTAAGACCAGTTCTTTCCGTCTTTTTCGTACCCCATCCAATGTGATCGAGAGACAAGCAAGCTGCTATGCTTTATAATTTTTTCCAAGCTGTCTTGGCTATTTTTTTTTGAGTTGGGTGGGGGGGGGGGCTTTATGACGAGGCTGCATACTCCAAGACTGGTTACCAGAATGTCTCTTCACTTAGGTTTCTGAAAGCTATTCTGATGTCCAGCAATTTAGTGTATGCTGCTGCTGTTATTTTTCCCAGCCAACCCTCCTAAATTGAAAGACCAGTACTTATAGTAACTATTTGGTCGAAAGTACCAATATAAATATTCACCTAGTTGTGCTTGCAGGCGTTGAGCTCTGGCTCTTTCGGCCCGCCTCTCATCTGTCAATCAACTGGTTTCCCCCCCCCCACCACACACACACACACACACACACACACCGTCCAGTGCCTCGCCCCTCACCCACGTCCAGCTAAATGAATTTGGGGGTTCAGTTCATGAGTTCAATACGTGCCTCTAATCTTCTTCCATTATCGCCCACAGGATGGGTATGGGGTCCACAATCGCCCAATTCAGAACTTTGTATACCAAATGCGGCAGGCCAATCCTGGAGTATGCAGCCATGGAGTCCATATCTAGTCAAGAATAAGACCAAACTGGAATAGGTTCAAAGGTTTGTCACCAGACTAGTACCCGAGCTGAGAGGTATGAGCTACGAGGAGAGACTTAGGGAATTAAACCTCACTTCGCTGGAAGACAGAAGAGTTAGGAGGGACATGATCACAGAGATATTAGAAAGAACCTTTTTAGTGTCAGAGTGGTTGACAAATGAAATGCATTAGGAAGTGATGTGGTGGAGGCTGACTCCATACACAGTTTCAAGTGTAGATATGATAGAGCCCAGTAGGCTCAAGAACCTGTACACCTGTTGATTGACGGTTGAGAGGCGGAACCAAAGAGCCAGAGCGCAACCCCCGCAAGCACAATTAGGTGAGTACAATTAGGCGAGTACACACCCACACACACAAACACACATTCTGGAAGCAGCCCGTAACAACTATCTAACTCCCTGGTACCTATTTACTGCTAGGTGAACAGGTGCATCAGGGTGAAAAACTCTGCCCATTTGTTTCGTCCTCCCCCGGGGATCGAACCCGGAACCTTAGAACTACTAATCCCAAACGGTGTCCACTCAGCCGTCAGGCCCCCCTACGCTACCCGCTGAATGTGCCGGAGGTGTTGTCATTTCTCCGACATTCACCTCAAGCACCACGACCGCGCGCGGTGTACGTGTGCGAGGTTACTCCCTGAATGTTGCAGGATGGTTGCTGCAATGACCGCGGCAGGCAGGCACGCGTGGGAGCCGCAGGGGGCAGGACAGCTGCGTGGGAGCCGCAGGGGGCAGGACAGCCGCGTGGGGTCGTGGATGAACACAGGCGACGACCCCGAGCACTCTGCTAACTGTGCGGTGCTCCGCCGACACACTACACACGTGACCTCTTGGACACAGCACTCCAGGACAGCTTTTATGTTTAACAGTGTCGGCAACACTAACACAAATCTATTTTTCCACGAACAAGCGGCAACGATGTGTATGATGATGTGTATGATGATCATGTGTATGACGATGATGAGTTTGTCACCAAGAGGACCTTCAATCTCTCGCTGATTCAATCACATCACACCGATAATTTATGAGCGTGTGGTGACACAGACTGCGGTACACCGGGGCGACCACGCGGTGTACCTACACACAGTGACACTCTACCCATCAGTGTCTCACTAACACGCTCTGTCATCACCCATCGTGGAGAGTTTCTGATGGACGTGTGCCCGTAAACTCGAATGTAAAGGAGTGAGTAAACTTCTCTGAGTCCTTGGAGCGATCACCAGCTAACTCAGCTGAGTCAGCTTGAGAACACGTGCTGCTGTGCTGGACGCTGACTGGAGAACACGTGCTGCTGTGCTGGACGCTGACTGGAGAACACGTGCTGCTGTGCTGGACGCTGACTGGAGAACACGTGCTGCTGTGCTGGACGCTGACTGCAGTACACGTGCTGCTGTGCTGGACGCTGACTGGAGAACACGTGCTGCTGTGCTGGACGCTGACTGGAGAACACGTGCTGCTGTGCTGGACGCTGACAGGAGAACACGTGCTGCTGTGCTGGACGCTGACTGGAGAACACGTGCTGCTGTGGTGGACGCTGACTGGAGAACACGTGCTGCTGTGCTGGACGCTGACTGGAGAACACGTGCTGCTGTGCTGGACGCTGACTGGAGAACACGTGCTGGTGAACACAACGGTGCTCAAGTAGCATCGGGGCCTTGGCCCAAGGACTCCACTCGTGCCTAACCCAATGGCAAACGAGTCAAGATGCATAGACCAATCACTATCTTACATACAAGTCGGTAAAAGACGACGGAGAAGAACCTAGACAGTTGGACGCTTTGGGATGACCTCTCACTGGCTGCGCCAAGCGGCCCTTCGCGCGCCACGAACTGAAGCTACCATGTCCTCTCTTTACTCCTATAGCATGTATAATACTGAATTCTAATGAAGGCTTACATATAACCTGTCCTGGTAGCTGCAACGCAACGGCCATTGCAACACCGGTGAACTGCCCGTCCACAGAGGTATCTGGAGATACAAAATAAAACAGGACCCAAGTCCTGAACTAAAAGGACTTACGATAGTGCACGATTGCAAGGTGCATTCTGAAGATTCCACGCTGGCGACCACACGATGTGCACTCGCATTGCACTCTTAAGATCGACGTGAAATTCTATTCTCTCACATCAGTAAAGGAGAAACCAGAAGCCTTTCTGACCGCAACATAACTATACAAGACCTAACCTAACCTCTCCTTGCCATCCTAGTCCTAATATACGTCATCTTACTGAGCCTAATATTGTGCATGTGTGCTACACTAGGCCTTGAATTATTTGTTTTTTGTTTTATTTAAACAGATTCTATAAAATTAAGAGCGCAACACGTGGGTTACTGGTGTTAGACGTGGGTTACTGGTGTTACACGTGGGTTACTGGTGTTACACGTGGGTTACTGGTGTTAGACGTGGGTTACTGGTGTTAGACGTGGGTTACTGGTGTTACACGTGGGTTACTGGTGTTAGACGTGGGTTACTGGTGTTACACGTGGGTTACTGGTGTTACACGTGGGTTACTGGTGTTACACGTGGGTTACTGGTGTTACACGTGGGTTACTGGTGTTACACGTGGGTTACTGGTGTTACACGTGGGTTACTGGTGTTACACGTGGGTTACTGGTGTTACACGTGGGTTACTGGTGTTACACGTGGGTTACTGGTGTTACACGTGGGTTACTGGTGTTACACGTGGGTTACTGGTGTTACACGTGGGTTACTGGTGTTACACGTGGGTTACTGGTGGTACACGTGGGTTACTGGTGGTACACGTGGGTTACTGGTGTTACACGTGGGTTACTGGTGTTACACGTGGGTTACTGGTGTTACACGTGGGTTACTGGTGTTACACGTGGGTTACTGGTGTTACACGTGGGTTACTGGTGTTACACGTGGGTTACTGGTGTTACACGTGGGTTACTGGTGTTACACGTGGGTTACTGGTGTTACACGTGGGTTACTGGTGTTACACGTGGGTTACTGGTGTTACACGTGGGTTACTGGTGTTACACGTGGGTTACTGGTGTTACACGTGGGTTACTGGTGTTACACGTGGGTTACTGGTGTTACACGTGGGTTACTGGTGTTACACGTGGGTTACTGGTGTTACACGTGGGTTACTGGTGTTACACGTGGGTTACTGGTGTTACACGTGGGTTACTGGTGTTACACGTGGGTTACTGGTGTTAGACGTGGGTTACTGGTGTTAGACGTGGGTTACTGGTGTTACACGTGGGTTACTGGTGTTACACGTGGGTTACTGGTGTTACACGTGGGTTACTGGTGTTACACGTGGGTTACTGGTGTTACACGTGGGTTACTGGTGTTACACGTGGGTTACTGGTGTTACACGTGGGTTACTGGTGTTACACGTGGGTTACTGGTGTTACACGTGGGTTACTGGTGTTACACGTGGGTTACTGGTGTTACACGTGGGTTACTGGTGTTACACGTGGGTTACTGGTGTTACACGTGGGTTACTGGTGTTACACGTGGGTTACTGGTGTTACACGTGGGTTACTGGTGTTACACGTGGGTTACTGGTGTTACACGTGGGTTACTGGTGTTACACGTGGGTTACTGGTGTTACACGTGGGTTACTGGTGTTACACGTGGGTTACTGGTGTTACACGTGGGTTACTGGTGGTACACGTGGGTTACTGGTGTTACACGTGGGTTACTGGTGTTACACGTGGGTTACTGGTGTTACACGTGGGTTACTGGTGTTACACGTGGGTTACTGGTGTTACACGTGGGTTACTGGTGTTACACGTGGGTTACTGGTGTTACACGTGGGTTACTGGTGTTACACGTGGGTTACTGGTGTTACACGTGGGTTACTGGTGTTACACGTGGGTTACTGGTGTTACACGTGGGTTACTGGTGTTACACGTGGGTTACTGGTGTTACACGTGGGTTACTGGTGTTACACGTGGGTTACTGGTGTTAGACGTGGGTTACTGGTGTTACACGTGGGTTACTGGTGTTACACGTGGGTTACTGGTGTTACACGTGGGTTACTGGTGTTACACGTGGGTTACTGGTGTTACACGTGGGTTACTGGTGTTGGGTTACTGGTGTTACACGTGGGTTACTGGTGTTACACGTGGGTTACTGGTGTTACACGTGGGTTACTGGTGTTACACGTGGGTTACTGGTGTTACACGTGGGTTACTGGTGTTACACGTGGGTTACTGGTGTTACACGTGGGTTACTGGTGTTACACGTGGGTTACTGGTGTTACACGTGGGTTACTGGTGTTACACGTGGGTTACTGGTGTTACACGTGGGTTACTGGTGTTACACGTGGGTTACTGGTGTTACACGTGGGTTACTGGTGTTACACGTGGGTTACTGGTGTTACACGTGGGTTACTGGTGTTACACGTGGGTTACTGGTGTTACACGTGGGTTACTGGTGTTACACGTGGGTTACTGGTGTTACACGTGGGTTACTGGTGTTACACGTGGGTTACTGGTGTTACACGTGGGTTACTGGTGTTACACGTGGGTTACTGGTGTTACACGTGGGTTACTGGTGTTACACGTGGGTTACTGGTGTTACACGTGGGTTACTGGTGTTACACGTGGGTTACTGGTGTTACACGTGGGTTACTGGTGTTACACGTGGGTTACTGGTGTTACACGTGGGTTACTGGTGTTACACGTGGGTTACTGGTGTTACACGTGGGTTACTGGTGTTACACGTGGGTTACTGGTGTTACACGTGGGTTACTGGTGTTACACGTGGGTTACTGGTGTTACACGTGGGTTACTGGTGTTACACGTGGGTTACTGGTGTTACACGTGGGTTACTGGTGTTACACGTGGGTTACTGGTGTTACACGTGGGTTACTGGTGTTACACGTGGGTTACTGGTGTTACACGTGGGTTACTGGTGTTAGACGTGGGTTACTGGTGTTACACGTGGGTTACTGGTGTTACACGTGGGTTACTGGTGTTACACGTGGGTTACTGGTGTTACACGTGGGTTACTGGTGTTACACGTGGGTTACTGGTGTTACACGTGGGTTACTGGTGTTACACGTGGGTTACTGGTGTTACACGTGGGTTACTGGTGTTACACGTGGGTTACTGGTGGTGTTACACGTGGGTTACTGGTGTTACACGTGGGTTACTGGTGTTACACGTGGGTTACTGGTGTTACACGTGGGTTACTGGTGTTACACGTGGGTTACTGGTGTTACACGTGGGTTACTGGTGTTACACGTGGGTTACTGGTGTTACACGTGGGTTACTGGTGTTACACGTGGGTTACTGGTGTTACACGTGGGTTACTGGTGGACCCTCACTACATATTGGGACCTGTCAGGAGGAAATAGTTATTATAAGTAATTTCATTTCAGGAGTTGCATCTTCGCATGTGCCTCGGGAACTCAACGTGTGATGATTGTTGCATTCACCTGGGCTCTAGGAGACTCGTCCCGTGGACCCCACGAGTGCGAGGTCGAAGCTCTATCGACCAAGCTACATGCTCTATATAAACTTGTATACTATATACTGACAGTTTTGCGGTGCATGTACTCCCAGGTCTTTTTCTCTAGTCGTTTTAAGCAGGTAATTCACCATCATTATGATGATTCCTGCTAGTATCCTCTCACCTGTTCCTCTTTACATCACCATACACTTGCTGGTGTTGAAATCCAGATGCCATTTCTCAAACCAACTCTTACAGCCTGTCTCTGCATTCCAGGAGAATTTACAGTCGTTATCTGCCTTGACTCTTCTTGTAGATTTTTCATTTACAAGACGACTGTCATGTCTACGTGTCGGTCACAAATACCGACAGGTGGAACTCTACACCCATAGTAACATGGGTGGAGCATTAATGTTTCCATTAACATTAATGGATAATAGCGTGGGTCCCAGCAGCGGTCCTCGAGGCAACTTATGCATGTTATCCTTAGCTGGCTCCTGTCAGCTACTCCCACCCATGTTGGTGATCGACCAGGTACTCCCACCCATGTTGGTGATCGTCCAGGTACTCCCACCCATGTTGGTGATCGTCCAGGTACTCCCACCCATGTTGGTGATCGACCAGGTACTCCCACCCATGTTGCTGATCGACCAGGTACTCCCACCCATGTTGGTGATCGTCCAGGTACTCCCACCCATGTTGGTGATCGTCCAGGTACTCCCACCCATGTTGGTGATCGTCCAGGTACTCCCACCCATGTTGGTGATCGTCCAGGTACTCCCACCCATGTTGGTGATCGTCCAGGTACTCCCACCCATTGTTGGTGATCGTCCAGGTACTCCCACCCATTGTTGGTGATCGTCCAGGTACTCCCACCCATTGTTGGTGATCGTCCAGGTACTCCCACCCATTGTTGGTGATCGTCCAGGTACTCCCACCCATGTTGGTGATCGTCCAGGTACTCCCACCCATGTTGGTGATCGTCCAGGTACTCCCACCCATGTTGGTGATCGTCCAGGTACTCCCACCCATGTTGGTGATCGTCCAGGTACTCCCACCCATGTTGGTGATCGTCCAGGTACTCCCACCCATGTTGGTGATCGTCCAGGTACTCCCACCCATGTTGGTGATCGTCCAGGTACTACTCCCACCCATGTTGGTGATCGTCCAGGTACTCCCACCCATGTTGGTGATCGTCCAGGTACTCCCACCCATGTTGG